TACTACTACTACTGCTACTACTACTACTACTACTACTACTACTACTGCTACGACTAATACTAATAATAATAACATTAAATAAAATCAGAACTTAGGCACCCCCATTCCAACGTACTATCATTTCTTATCAAAACACAATTTCTGTGGAATATTAGTGGGATTGAAAAGTTAACATTAAATTTGTGGAGAAAACGCAAATTCAAAGTACATAATCAGGTAGTAATACAATAAGAAGTGAATTTATTCAAAGATCATATCAAATGTGCCAACAAATAAGGCGAATGGAGAGGAATTGAGATTCGAATCACTTGAAGCTCATCTGTCATTAGGTCAAATCAGCTTGTTGGACTTTCATTTGGACCAATTTCAACGACCCAAGATTAAGAGGACGCTACCACGGGGAGAGAGGTAAATCAGGTCTTCCAATTCGTTTCTGGCATGTTTACTTCTATTCACGGGGGTGTGCGATTGACTTACCTCCATGTAGTGCACCCTGGGCAACGTATACTCATACGGCAAAAAGTCTATTAACCGGCAGTTGACTTCAGACTCCAAACTACCATCACCCCACTGAATGTCAAATTCGACAACTTCAACCGTACTCACCTCACTTTTTTCCAACTTTGTGTCTGTCTCTTTTACATCTTTGAAACACTCTTCTGTCCCCCCCCCCCATCTCGACCTTTTTTCACTTTGATGTTCCTTCCCATCTGTGAAGCCTGAAGTCAACTGAAGGGCTAATGATAACTAACAAAACGCCTGCCATTTGATATAAATAACTTTTATTCACTGCATACAGTTAGCTTGTCAAGTAGGGAAATAAATGAAGTTTAGGGGTTAGCATTACTCAGCTAAAGCTCCCACCATCGATAAATATTGGAATAAGTACGTAAGTACCACAGGCTAGACTAGAGACCTCTTACTTATTACATTTGTGAGAATTCGATGTTTTTGAACGATGCGTCTCCATTGCTATTTGGCAGGAAGTTGAGTAAATTTATAGGGGAGAGTGGGTAATTGCATCGAGCCTAGAAGCAACATCTAACGAGCAAGCATAGAGGACAGTTTTGGTGACTGATATTGGAGATAGGTGTATGCGTGTAATAATTTCCTTTATCTTCTCAAAGTCGAATTTATATGAGATTATAACTAAAATAGCCAAAGATTAAAGAATTTTTGAGCAACTAGAATTAGATGTGTGTCAATTCATATCAATGTTTTAAAAACAAACAAGTCAACATTTTACAAAGATTCTTATTATTATTATTTGATTTTATTTGCCAGAAAATTGTAAAAAGAATATATTATAATGCTATTTAAACACTAAAATTTACATAAGCAAACTCAGCTATATCAGTTTTCATTTCCCGCGTTCTGCACGAAATGCACGTTTTCTTTTATGATAATTACTTCAAATTGCATCAAGGATTAACTTAATCACTTCTTCAGACTGTTATTAATTTATAAATGGGGTGCGCGATAGACTTATCTCCACGTGGTGCACCCTGGACAACGTATCTTCGTACGGCAATAAAGTCTATCACTCGGCATTTGATTTGACTTCGATTTATTATGATTAGCCTGGAAAAAGGCATCAAGAGAAATCGCCCTCGTCAGGGCGAATCACAACGTCTTCAGATCCTTCAGTGGAATGCTGGAGGGCTGTCACAGGACAAAAAGATCCAAGTCCAGAAAATCCTACAAACCTATGATGTAGATATTTTCACAATTATGGGAGCAAAAATTTCGGATGACAAACTGAAGTACTACCAATTCCCAGGCTACACCGTCTACCTTCTACCTAAATCCCGTCAAGTTGCAAGTGGAATTCTAACTGGAGTAAAAGAAGGCCTCACCTCACACTACGATCTAATCAAGAGTATGGGCTCGACACAAGACATATGTGAAATAATCAGATTAAATGTTTGGAAATGTCAAAACCACTTCAAGATATATGCAGTCTATAATCCACCCCAGAATTGTCCAAACTTTGACTTTCTAAACATCTCACACAAAACTGTAGCGTTAGGAGACTTCAACGCCCATTCCACCAGATGGGGCTACAAGGATACAAACATAGCTGGAAAGGAAATCGTAGACATGCTAAACACCAACCCTCTGGAACTTATTTACAGCAATGAGGATCCGGCTACATATTTGCACTACAATGGAACCAGAACAACTCCTGACTTACTCCTTGCTTCAAGCGACATCAGCGAGCATACACGCCGCAAAATAATTGACGATCCTTGTTCTGGTCACAAACCAGTCATTGCTAGTATTACCACTGGCAGCAAAAGCTTGACAAGGAAAGTGTCAACTAAACTATCATGGAACTTCAAGAAGTCTGACTGGCCTAGATTCACAAACCTTTTAGAGAACGAACTTCACACAAGTCCCCTCAACTTCAACCAACATCCTGACAAACTTTACAATGATATCACGAATATTATAATCAGATGTGCAAAGAAAACTATTCCCCAAATCAAGACTAAACAATNACAACAATGGAATGGTAATCAACACCGCGCTAACTGCATTCCAAACTTTTTTTGGCCCGTCACAGCATAAACCCACTTCTAAGGTACAAGGATACTACCATAGAAAAAACCAATGAATTCACTTATCTCGGAATGACTTTTGATACAAAGCTAACGTGGAAAAGTCACATTGCTAAAATTGCAGAACGAGTCTCCAATAGACTGAAGGTACTGAAGCGTCTTGCTGGTAGCGTATGGGACTGTGCACTCAACTCTCGATACCACTTACAAAATGTTTATTCAGCCAATAATGTTTTATTGCTGTGAGCCACTCATTACAGCCACAGAGGTGACTCTCAAACCACTCGCGAAGGCACACAACCAAGCATTACGAATAATTACTGGAGGGATAAAATCAACACCCATTGATGCAATGCTCATAGTTACAGGAAGCACCACAATATGTTCCCTTATCAAAGAAAAGGCCTTGATCCTGTATGAGAGGCTACTGCGCATTCCCATGGATAAGTTCTTCAGCACCTATGAGAATAGACCAAGACATCTGAAAACGCAATCTGGTCTAATACAGAAAGCCATAGAACTGAAGAAAGCGTTACAAATCGATGATAAACCAAAAAGCCTCTCTCTCTCCATGAACCCATTAGCAGACATTGATGTAGTGTGTTGCACCCAACTGCTTGACTTCTTCAGGAAATCAAACACCCCTTCAGAGCAAATGCGCTCACTGGTCCTTGAGACAATCAATGTCAACTATCCTGCAGATCAATGGCTCCAAGTCTTCACTGATGGGTCACACCTAGAAAACCAAGCAATCGTTGGTGCAGGTGTCTATTCTGAACTCTTCTCTTTCTACGCAACAGCGGGACAATAGATCCGCCTTTGAAGGAGAAACAGAGGCTACTAGGATAGCACTATGCCGATTATGTTGCCCGGATACGAAATTCACCAAATCGGTGATACTTTCGGACTCACAATCAGCAATAAACTCTATTGGAAACAGAGAGTCACCCAAAACAGCTGGGATGAAGGAATGTAGAAAACTCTATGAGCTGCTGAGAGAGAAAAACAAAACAGTGGTTCCACAATGGATTCCTGGTCACTGTGGCATTAAAGGCAATGAGCTTGCTGACACACTTGCTAAGAAGGGGACAACGATTTTGCAATGCATGGACCGGCCCATGTCTTTCTACACAATGAAGGCCTTAATCAGGAGAGAATTCCATACCTCAAGGTGCAACGAACTTAAAGCTCGAACAAGGGAGAAACAGTGGACAGTGGTACTCTCCGGTATAGCCAACTGGCCAAGAATCGAAGCCGTTGCTGAGTTTAGACTACGTACCGGACACGATTGCTTGGCAAAACACCTTCTCAGATTGGGAGTATACACTCAACCCACATGCCCCCTATGTAACCTACAGGAGGAAATGGAGAAGACCCATCTGATTCGGTGTCCAGCCCTAAAGGCAACTAATGATAAATATCATGAAGCCTACCATTTAAAATAAATAAATAAATTTATAAATTAGTTCAATGCGAAGCATGGAGCCGTTTTGGTGGGAGACGATGCTATGTACGCACTAATTCCATTCACAATGACTTCACTCTTTAAATTTTAATTCCCTAAAGTTGTAGTAACATCCGCCCTCACTTTCTTCCACAAAAAAATCGACTAATCATACCGGCGTCACAAGAGGCCTTAGTTTTCTCTGTCACTCTTGCTTTCCCCCCCCCCGCCTCCCCCCTCCTCCGTTAACTTGTCACAGCTTGTCACCCGCTATTGTCATTCTCTTGAGTGTGTGACTGATTAAAATGCTTCTGTTGGCTGACTTTTTGGAGGATGCTGTTTAGGTAGTAGTAAAAATATACATCTTCTAGTCCGACGTACTAAATTTTAAAACTTGTGAAAAAAATTCCTTTTTTGGAGACAGCAGCATTGTTTAATTAGAATTCCCATTAAAAAAGTGGCGTCAAATGCCATAATTGGACACTTTCATACTAATTAAATGAAGAGTTTCTAAATGCAAGTTTCCCTTTTAGGCAAAATGTGAATTATTCGAGAAACGTTTGAAGAAGAAGAAGAAGATGATGATGTATTGACGTTATTTCATCCTACATTGATTTGCTTATCCATCTTTTTATCCACTTTACCATCTACTTTCCATTGATTTGCTTCACGAATAAGCCTTGACTTATCTTCAGTAATCTCAAATGGCAAAATATCCTAGCTTGGATGGGATTGAGGAATTAGTTAAGCCACCTCAAGGATATTGGGGAAACAGGGATATATCAAGTGGTGCGTTTAATCAAGTTATGAACACGGCAAACATTTTCCAGAGCTTGAATATGATAATTAATAGGTGATTAGTCGTAAAAGCCTCAGCACACTTGTTGAACCCTCATGAGTGTTCGGAGAGCGAATGCGATTGCTTATTTTAATCATCCTAAGGAAGAGGGGAAACCATTTTAATTATTTCGTTTGAAACCCGTTCCATCTGCTAAGTTTTCTAGTCACCCTGTAATCATAAATTCCAAGCACAATTGCAATATGCAGATTAGTCAACATTGAATATATCGAAGAAATGAAAAAATAATTTTTTTAAATTTCTGCATTTAATGTAAGATTTCGTTTGAAATATATTTACAAACACACTTTAAAAATTCTTTCGTCAACACATTGAGTTTAATTATATTCGAAGTCTATTTATACTGCGTTTTTTTGACTACAAGATTAATGCTTTCCAATTCTGGGAAAATACAATAGCCCACGACTTCATCTCTAGTGAATAAAATTAGCATTAACATTTAGTCATGCGATTAGCTTACAACTTATTCACAACTTAAGATGAATGGTACCTTACAAAGGTCAACAATTTTCGGGGGCAATTAATGATCCATTTATCTCTTCATCCGAGTGCATAATTTACCTGCACTACCGATTGATTATAGAATCTAAATTAATTATTGAAAGGATAAAACAAATTGTTAGGGGATTAGATTCCTAGAGATTTATGAAGAAAATTTAAGGGTATACCTTTTTTTATTAACTATTGAAGTGTACGATGGGAATTAAGTTCCGCAGTAAAGATAACAATGTGTGAATTTATTCTCACGGCATACTCAAGTGTTGATTAAACGAGAAAATACAAATTTTAGATGTTTAGGTGGGTTAGGTTTACAAAATTATGCATTTGTATTACACTGTAATTGACGTACCATGTATAAATCATCTTTTCGTTCATTTACCTTAACGACGCATCCGTGGCTTTAATGGAATCTCTCCCTCCTTAATCAAAGAAAAATTACATTTGATCTTTGGCTGATGATGACTATAGGGAGAATCAAGTACAAAGAGCTTATCGCTAACAGAAATAAAATGTGACGCAATAATAACGAATATTGAAGAAAATTGAAATTAGTAAACCAAGAAATGTGAAGGTGATATATAAACAATTGGGTTGGATCTAGAGCAGATGAGAATCGAACCAGTTGTTTAATGAAGAACACGCTTTGAAATGGTGGGAAAAATTTAAATATTTTTAATCAGCCAAACAAGAAATAATAGTATGTATCTACTTTGCGATGAGCTTCGGTTTGAATTTGATCTTGTTTGGTTTAATTGTGAGTAATTTTAAGTAGTTCATATATGGCATAAACGGAGTGTGCAATAGACTTAACTGCACGTTGTGCACCCTGGGCAACGTATACTCATGCCTCAAAAAAGTCTATTATTCGGCATTTGAATTCTGACTTCAAACTACCATCACTCCGACTGTATGTCATATTCCTCCACTTCCGGAGTACACATCGTACCTTTGTCTCGACCTTTGTGTTTGTCCCTCCTACATCTTCCCTTCCCCCCCTCTCTCCTTTTGTTACTTTGACTTTCCTCCCCTCCGTGTGAAGTTCGAAGTCAATCACTAAATGACTTATGACAACTATCATAATGCCTGCATCATTTGATGTAAATAAATATTTTGTCTAAACACGAGAGAGCTCATAGAGCGGACTTCACACGAGGTGAATTCTAATAATCAGAGTTTGTTAAATAATTATATTAAATTATTTCGCAACAAAAGTCAGGTAGAATTGTGCTTCGGAACGATCCCTTTCCACGTAGGTACCTCTTCTGAATTGATTAAAGTGCTGAATATTGGTAAATTAGTTACTGTCAAAGTTCTAGATTTGACGAATTACCTATTCAAAGTGCCAAAGGCGTCGATCTAAAAAAAATGTCCTTTAAATTTTAGACGAACATCGCATTCCTTTACAAAGACATAACTGACTTGTCAGAATACGTTAAAATCCAATCCGAGGGTTGCCAGAAATCTCAGAACACATCAATACACACTTATTTATTCCTATGATTTATCGATTTTTAATGAGTATAGAGCTTGTACTTAAGTTTACACAAAAAGCCTGACCGATATAAATAAACAGAGCTTGTAAAGCTGACGTTAATTTTAGAAAGTTTTCAGTTCCAATCGATACTTGGTTTAAATCAAACGTAAAAAAGATTATAATTTATTCATTATTTATGTAAAACCATTCCAACTTACCTCTGGAATGCAAATGTAATATTTTATCTGAAAATCCCGCCATCTTAACTTTCTGAGGAAAGCACAGTTTCTCCTCAAGTAAATTTAATTCAATTTTAAACAACTGTGGCAGACATATTGTTGCGGGGAAACTTATGCGATGTATGTGAAGTGAGTTTCTTTAAATCTCATATTTTATCACAAATTGCTTTCTAATAATTTATCTTTGCAAATCATATCCCAATTGAAGTAAATTTTAACTTTGTTGCCCAATTATAAGATAGATCGAACAACAAACGTTTAGTTGTTTTTAACAATTTGGAGGTATAATTGCCCCTAACTAATAATATAAATGAAGACCTTTTAACTCTTGCATGTATAGACAAT